GGCGCGCGTTCCTGAGGGAGGGAGCTCAGCTCTTCCCGCAGCCTTGTGCCGAGGGGGCAGATCGCGCCCGGCATTTCCAGTCACAAGTGGGGTAGTTTATCCCTTCCACAGGCCTGGGTTAACAACGGGGGACCTCCGAGGCAGGGGGTGGCCGTCGCCATCCCCAGGGGACAGCAGGCCATGGCCATCACATGCCCGCTTGGGGCACAGGGTCGGTGACAGCTCTAGGTATCATTAACAGCTCCTCGTTTGTGTCCATCAGTGTTACCACACTCAGAAGCGGGCACGCACATCACGAACATTTTGTACCCCTGTGGGGTGTCACCACTGGCCTGACTTAGGAAAGGATGCCTCCTCATCCTCACCTCAGGCAATGGCAGACTGATGGAAATGAAGACAGAAGAGTCCAGTTTAACTGGATGGATTGATGTAGATCTACTAATACTCAAAAGTACTATCTTGGTTTTAATAATGCTTTTCATAAAATGAGGCATCTGGAGACGCTGTTTATAGGACTGAAGTAGGCTTGACTCCCCTTGTTTTGCCACTGTTAAAGTTTTGAGAATGAAGAGCAGCTGGCAATTACAGTAGTCAATGGATAATGCTGCCGGCGGGCACACGGGGAAATTGTCCCACTCACCTGGCCAGGAGCTTTGCCCTGTGGTAGCTTCCTTGAAATGAAGACTTTGCATACAGTAGTAAGAATTTATAAGATACAAACCAAGTCTAATTACACGAATGCATGATGTATTCCATTTCTGTATTTTTCTTTGATGCATTTCAAGGTGTATTCATCTTCCACAGATGTCCTGAAACCAAACTTTCAAAATAAGCATTAAAAATCATCTTGTACCATTCATAGTTCAGAGGCAGTTCTCTTATTTTCTAACAGAAGTGCTGAACAGGGCTTCTAGAAAGGCAGGTGATGAAGATGCCCTCCATAGATGCTTGATCAGAGCACCAAATGTGGGCTAACATATCCCAACCCTGCTGCTGTTACAAATGTGCTTCAGCTCTGCTAGTGGTGTCTGGAAGGAGCTTGGGATCACTCAGTAGGGCATCTGCACAGGACAAAGTGGTTTTTTACAGCTCTCATACTGACAGTACTTCAGGTCTTACATTCAACTTTCAGTTCAATTTGATTAACACAGAGAAGCAAGTTTCTCCGCTCCTAAATTATAGATGGCAAAGTTGAAGCTCAAAATCATGCAGCATGCCATTACCATGCAAAAATCTTTCGTGTACTAATTCCTATACAATACAGATCATCTGCTGAGCTGACAGCATTGCTGAAGTTCTACCAATATCCTTCTAAACCAGTATTGATCAAAAAATATCTACCTGCTCAGAGTAATTGTTTTGAGATGTCCTGTACTGGTACTTAAAAACTCTCACTTATTAAATACTTGCATTTAGTAGTGATTTTTGCCTGAAACTTACGCTTGATCGAAGGTGGGGGAAAGAAAAAAAAGATGGGAATTGTACATTACTGGACCGCTCACAGATAGCTGAATAATCCAGAAATTCTCAAAAAGAATTTGAGAGATTGAGAGATGCAGACTGATACAGCTGATGTGAACAGTAACACAGGTAAATTAAACTCTCAAATTAACTCTACAAATCATAGAATTTTTCACTTCCCAGCAGAAGAGCTGAACTGACAAACAGAAGCAACAAGTTATGATGTTTCTTGTGAAAATTTATAGCATTAATTAACATTTTTCTGCTAAGTTAAACCAAATAGTACTCAGTGCTAAGACCTGATAAGAATGCCTCAGATTAAGGGTCCCAAGTCTTCACTGCAAACCAGTGAGATGCTAGCTGGCACGGCTGCAGAGAGAAGCTGCACTGCGTGCTAAGGCCTCAAAATCTTAAGAAACAAACCACTCAGCCCACCCCCACCACCTTGAATTTAGTTAAATGACGACAGTCAAAATCTGTCAAGAATTTTTAGAAGCCCAACTCAGATGTGAATGCCAAGGATTAGTAATACAAGCTATCACAAATTAAAAGGGTGTCAAATAAGAAAATAAAGGAATGGTCTGGAAATTAAGGAATTTTGAGGAAAAATACCAATAAAGTTTTTAAACTATGCTAATGTCCTAATATTTGAGTTGGAATGAGGAATTCCCTTCGGGGATTCAAAACTGGAAGAGAAACACTGTTGAGTGTGTCCTGCACTATATTAGCTGTAACTAAATCAGACACAACAGTGTGTTGGCTGTTTATCCTCATACAGTTGGAAGTTTACTTGTTCTAACTAATGCCATATCCAGGACATTAAAACTCTACTGCTCAACTTAATTTGCACAGGAAAAGTACACAGGATCTTCATAGAAAGTCATTTCCTTGAAAAGTACCAGGAAAAAAAATAAATTGGAACTACTTTATCATCCTATGAATAATGCTTTTGATTTATGAACAGGCGATTGCATTGATAATTGAGCTTTCAATTAAAAATATGACAACAGAATACTTTGGGTTAAATATTTTATTTTATAATAAGCCTTACACCAGGATCACTAAACATTTTGTGTATCACCCAAATAAGTTACATTCATTCTGAGCTTTCATGCAGTTGTAAAAAAGTTAAATTTCTCAAAAAATAATTTTCAAGTGAGACGTAATAAACTCTGCATAACCAAGCCCGAATTCTTTCACATCAAGTAAAATATTCCAGTTTTCCCTCCTGGTTTGAGAGTACGGACCAATTACAAAAGCCCCTCCAAATTTGCACTAATTAAATGGAGACTCACTGAAATTACTGAGACTTTCTGAATACCTTGAATAACAGTAGTAATGCTTCGAAGTACGAGTGAGACCACTCAGTTGAGTTGCAAGAAGTGACATTTTGCCCGAGGAGAATACTAAAGTATCTTAAATGAAAACCCTATTGCAAGGGACAGACCACCACTGATGAGCATGCAGAACACAAACAGGAGGCAGCAAACCTCACATTCACAAGCTTAACCACAACTTTTAAGGGGACACAGCATTTATGCAGTCTTCTACTATTTCAAAAAGGTAGTGATATATATCAGTTCTCCTAGCAATGTCAAGGGCCGTTTCATCCAAGTTGTTTTTCAGGTCTGGTTTCACGTAGCGATTCATCAGCAAGAGTTCAAGGGTTTCTCTACTGTTTTTGTTTCCTGCAGCAATATGCAATGGTGTCAGCAAACCATTTGTCTGCGCGTTGATGTCTGCGCCCTGCTGAAGCAAGAACGCGGCCACTTTTGTATTGTTCCACTTACAGGCGCTGTGCAGAGGCGTCCAGCCGTCCACCGTCTGCGCATGAACGTCTGCCCCTTGGGCAACCAGTTCATGTGCAATGTCCAAGTGCCCGCTGTAGGCAGCTCGATGGAGAGGAGTGTACTGATCTTCATCACGAGCGTTAACTGGAGCCAGCTTTTCAGTAAGGAGCCTCTTCACTGTACTCAGCTATTTAAAGACAACAAGTAATTTAATATGAAACTCTGCAAACAAGATGTATGGCTTTTATTGTTCTGTTCTGAAGTTTTGTGGAAAAGCAATTTCTGTCAGTCTCAAAAAAGCTTAAGTGCAACGAGAAATTTTAAAATGAAACCAGTTATTGTTACTGGGGTGGGGTTTTTTGGTGGGTTTTTTGTTTTGTTTTGTTTTTAAAGATACAACAAGAACATTAGTTGCAATGCCTTAGGAGTACCTTTACCTAACACCTTCTCCCCATTCCCTGTTAAGACATAGGTACCTCCACAGGACTGTAGATGGAGCTTGTGTGTGTAAGAAAGGCAACGAATAAAAAAAAATGTGCACAAGCAGGTAATAAGCTATGTAACAGGAATCTTGGTCATCTCTCCTTCCGCCCCAAAAATAAAAAGCTTTCTTTTCTGTAAAAAGATAGGAAAACAGTCACCCATTATTTGCATATGGAGCTTTTGAGAAAGTAAAATTTCAGATACACCCAGTTAAGAGGCTTACTTGCCATGAAGAAAGAGCCTGGCATGCTTTCAGTTTATAGAAGTTTAAGACTGCTCTTACTTTGACTTTGAACTACAATCAAAGCTTCTGTTCTGAAAGCTAATGGATCCAGAGATATTTTAGTGTGTGTGGGCTACAAAGGGAGATGTCTTACATACAGTGGCTTGCAGAACTGGATCAAAATAGTTCACAGAGATAAAGGAAAGTGTAGGTAAATTTTTGTTTGTGGATGGAACTGTAGATATCTGCTCAAAATAACATTCTTGTCAGTGATACATATGAACAGAATAAATGCCTTACCCGATTGTTTTCAGCTGCCCAGAGTAGCAATTTCTCCGGATTTTTTTCCATTTTTTTTTCTTGCATTTCGTACCATTCCTCACTTCTTTCTTGTTCATCATCCTCATCATCAGACTGTCCTGACCAACAGCTCTGAGTTCCTACAGGAATCAAATGCCTGTGCGTCTCCAGCAGTTCAAGTTGGTTAAAATTCTCCGTAAAGTCTTCGAACTGCTCGCTGTCATCATCATCTTCATCGATTTCTTTATCCTTATTCATTTTCAGTTAGCATCTGTAAGTAGCAGATATACAACGATATTTATAGTAACTTCACCGCTATCCGTGCACTAATTGCCAATAAAAACATCTGATGGATGACGCAGATATCAGCAACACCATGAACAGCAAAACTCAGGAGCACACTCAATGTTCCTCCACTAAATCGGGCTGTGCCAGCTCTGCCGGAACCCCCGGTTAATGTCCACACAGAAAAAACTCTTTTTTACCCCAATCTAGAAACGGCATCGCCTCCGGACCCGTGGAGGGAGATGCGCGGGTGTTTTGCAGCCTTCACGGAAACACCACGCGTTTTACAAACAGGAGGTTCGGAGAGAACTCTGGCCTTTAAAGCAGTGTTTCTGCTCCTCCCCGGGGGGCCAGCCCCGCCCAGCGCTCCCCGCTGCCCTCCCTTTCCCCTCACGCCCCGAGCGAGGGCCGGGCGGGCC